GCCTCAAAAGTGCCTCACCGTGGATACGTTTTATATCGTTGATGATGACCGTCGTGCCAAGACCAATGATAGACGGCGGTGTTGAATTAAAAGCGAAAAAAATACAAAAAGAAAAAAAAAAGAAAGAAATGGAATAAATGGAAACAATAAGATGCAAGACGTGGGGAGGAGAAACGTGGATTTTACTTAACGATTAATTCGCGGATATACGTTGAAAGCGGAGAGATGAAAAAAACTGTTAAACGTTAGTTAACGATTGTAAGGAGATAATCACACTGGTGGCCTTAGGAATCAATTAATATCTAACAACGGCCCCTTGGCACTTCCGGGCCCTGTTTAAACTACCCCGAAGAGAAGTCAGAAGTGAGAAGTAGAAGATGAAGAAGGGGTGTGACGAAGGGAAGGCGTGAAACGTGGACTTCTTCGACTCACCCTCGACCCTCGACCAACTTTCAAAAGGAGATGTATCTACCTCGATCTTCAGCTCGGTAGAAATTCGTGCAGGCCGTTGTCGTGCGACGTGGAGAAGATAAAAGACGGATGAGGAGGAGGAACGAGGAAAGTTGAAGAACGAAACACGAGGGGGCGTATGGTGCGTGGGTGCTGGTGGATCGGATAACGAAATCTTGCGAAAGGACAAAAACAAAGAGCAATAGCCGGAGAAGAATGCAAGTATATCGACGAGGAATGAATACGAAAGAACAATACCGAACGATAACTGGGGGGACAAAGCACGGCAAGAAACTCGAAGAAACGGAAGAAATAGTCGGACGACACCGATGCGCCCAAACGGGATTTCTATCGAGATTTATCCGTTTTTTCCTTCTCGAGAAGAGAAGAAAAGTGTTGTACAAAATGAAATTAAACTTTAAGAGAAAAAGACAAAAGAAATATAGGAAAAAGAAGAAATAATAGATGCTCGAGGCGCGCGAGACAGGCCCGCGATAAGACGAAAGAAGATCGAGCCTGTCTCGTTTCCGTGCCCGGAGCATGTTTGATTTCTCGTGTACTTCATCGTCGCCTATTTTTAACTTTCCGCCAAGTTACGTGCAGCATGCCAATGCGAACCTGTCGCTGCGTAGCGAGACAAAAACCTAGCAACCGTTTCTTTCCCTTGAATCCCTCTCGTTCTTATCTTCCGGTCGCCGAATCGGCACTACGAAACGAAGAAATAAGAAAGACGAAGGAAATAATCACCAAAGCAGGAATCTCCAGATGACTTTCCATTTCGACAGCAAAGCAATTCACATTTCACGCAAAGTTACCGAGGATAAGGATCGATCCAGTGTGTCGTTGTCTGTATCTTCTCTGGATTCCTGAATTTTCGAAACCTTCTCAGTTCCAAGTTTCCGCATCGTTTCAACGGTTTTTCGCTGGATTCGAGGTGAAAAGCAAGAGAGAGAGAGAGAGAGAGAGAGAGAGAGAGTAAAACAGAAGAAGAGGCAAGAAAGAACAAAAAAAGAAAGAAAAGAAAAAGAAACACGTTAGATGCATACGAGCCAAGACTTTTAGAGCCACGACAAATTCGAGGAAGCGTCGAACCACTAGTCGGAGATGCCTGCGCCAAAAAAGAAAAAGAAAAAAAAAAGTATACCTCCGGAAAGAAAGCGGCTGAAAAAGAGGAAAACGAAGAAGAGGAGAAAGAAATAACACAAACTACTATTCGGCAGCGAGAGCGAATGCATCGTGCTGTATGATCGTAACGAAGAAGAACTGGTTACTACTCTGATATAGGGATATAAAACACCGATGGCTGTGTTACATTTTCCACGGAGTTACTAAAGGGTTGGGGGAGTAATTGATGAAACGCGAATTACGATGGGAGATCGGAGGAAGAACGTATTGTGCGAGAAGAAGAACGTATTGTGTCGGATCGCTATTTTCATTGATGTAGAAATATATATTCACCAAGATCGTAGAAATATATTTCTCGTATCGCGGAGATAATTCTGACATCTCACGGGATGTGATACCGCACGTGTACACATTATAATATAAATGTAGCGGGTAAAAGAGAATACTTGTGTAAATTATGCGTGCGAGAGAGAGAGAGAGAGAGAGAGAGAGAGAGAGAGAGAGTGCGGCGTAAGGAGAGATTGAGAGGGGTGAAAATTTCGTGTCGACGTGTTGTGTAGCTAGTTAGGAGAAAGAAAGGGAGAAATTGAATGTATAAAGAAAAAAAATGTTAGGCTTGTAGCGTGTGAAGATACAACTGGAGAGTGGACAAGGAAGAAACTTGGGACACACACAGACAGACAGAAACACACACCTACACACACCAGCTAAGAAACACTGCCAATACGATTGTAATTAAGAACTCTAGGCTAATTGATCGATTTAATTATTCTTAGTATTATTATTACGATTAAATGTATAACCCGATAGATCTCTAGATTGCCGCGAATGTGTAAGAGATGACAGGACGGTCCCGGTTGCTCCATGAGCCTCGCTTACGCGAATTTTTCACCGATTTAAAGTACATACATATATATATAATAAATATCGACGCGCTCCGCTAGTTTCCTTTGTAAAAGCATCGATGTAACAATGAACAGGCGTTCGCGGGTGGCATGAAATGGGGCGATCGAGGACGAGCATGTAAATAGTTAGTTGAAATTATCGATAGACCGCCTGGTGTTACGGGCCACCACCGCCTCTATCCCGAGGATATCAAAGCACAGCCTATCAGCTTGCGATTCCAAGCGAGACAGAGATTCTCTTTTTAAACGGAAACTCTCGTTTTACCAAGCACACTTGGTGTATCTTTTTTTTTTTCCTTTTTTTTTTTTTTCGTGTGTGCGTGTCCAGCGAGAAGGACTCCGCGGTGGTGTGTTAATCGCACGAGGGGCCTGGTAACAATTGCGAGAGAAAAACGATTCGCGCGGTTAGGAATAAGAAGAAGAAGATGGAACGCGTCACTGCCAAAAAATTGCGCACTGCCAAAAAAAATCGCGCACTGCCAGTCGTTCGAAGAGAGAGAGAGAGAGAGAGAGAGAGAGAGAGAGACAGACAGAGCGAGAGAGAGAGAGAGAGAGAGAGAGAGAGAGAGAGAGAGAGAAGAGTACGTCGCGGTAGCCGCACGCATCTATTAGAAAAGCCTTATTATAATTTCACTCGCGAAGCATCCAGCTCCTATCGTATTTCGGTAGGTTTTTTGTCAGAGTTGGCGCGAATCGTTGTTCTACTAGCGCGCGCAATACACCGCCCCCTCGATCGTTTTTACTCGGATCCCTCTATGGAAACTGCCAGTCCGATGTCGACGGACGCGAACCAAGGCACTGCCAGCGAAACATAAGAGACAGAGAACGAATCTGAAATATCACATATGTGTATATGTATATCTCGTTTGTAGGTATACATAAACATATATATATAAGTATATGTATATGTATGTGTATAGCTATTGTCTGTATGTGTACAAGAAGCGAGAATCTCCGTTAAAGAACCTTCTCTAAGACACGGTCGATTGATTTCGTTTGGCGAATCTTCTGTCTGGTTTTCCTCTTTCACTGCTCGCGCGACATGGTTCGTTTTCCTCGTTATTCCAATGCAAGAAAAATGATAGAAAAAAAAGAAGCTTCGCTTTCCTCTTTGTTACTTGGCGTCCTCCCGCCAGTGCCATACACGTGCTCCAACACGCGTGACGTTCGTTCCTTGTGATTTTTCTCTCGTGTTCATGTTTCGTGTTCATCGATTTTATTTCGTGGCGTGATCATTATTCGATCGTCGTTCCTCTCGCTCCACTCTCGACGTTAGATCTTAACGAACTGTTAGAGAGCTAGGCTCGATCACGAGTAAACGAATAAACGAATAAAAAAAGGAGGTATTATCCACGAGTGGGACCAATTTCTCTCGAGGTACTCGTATTCACGCATGCTTGTTTCTTTTCGACGTTTAGGGATCAGAGTTTCTTTACATTTTAGTCATAAAGGAGTATCGATTTCTCGATTAGGTTTAGAACGTTGCTTAGGTAGAAATTATTAAGTTAGGTGTAATTGGTTAATTCTTTGACGAGGGTGGAACGGCGGGAGAAACAATCGGCCATTCAATCACGCTTGATCTCGTGGTAGTGAACCGTGGTGTAAAATTTAGGTCGATACGAAAATTCGGAAAGAAATTCTCTAATTTTTTTTTGCTTCGAAGCTGCTCCTGAAATTTTTCATTCTCGTCCACACACGATCCAGAAGAGCTGACACAGCTTCTTACAGAGACTATTAATCGTCGTCGTCGTTCGCTTCGCAGAAGACTGTCCGCATTTAGTATTTAGTCTTTAATTATTGCCTAATTCTACGGAAGAGAAGGGAAAAAATTGAATGATTTTCGTTTTGGTCGTTATGGCGCCAGCTCGATCAAATGAGAAATACGAAGGAAAGTTCTGTATCGCGAACTAAAAGAGGCAAAACATCGAAACGGAAAGGGGGAAAGACAAAATTTGCACGTTTTATGTTCAATTTACAAAAAAAAAAAAAAAAAAAAAAAAAAAATCATCGTCATGATTACGAAGGGTAATTATTTTTTCCTCCAACAGTGCGACGCTATTTCGTTCGTAACCCTCCTTCTCCCTCGTTTCCCTCA